TCAATTTGTAACAATGAAAATATATCCTGTATATCAGATATTTACATTATGATTCATAGCAGTAGCAAAAGTACAGTTATGAAGTAGCAACGAAATAATTTTATGGTCGGGGGTCACCACAACGTGAGGAACTGTATGAAAGGGTCGCGGCACTAGGAAGGTGAAGAACCACTGTTGTACAGTCTTCATTATTCGTTGTCCAACTTTCACACTCCTGTGAGACAAGTGAAAATATCATGGCTTGGGTCAAGTGCACCGAAGTGACATCTTTGGTCTTGAAGATTTTAAAGTGGTCTTGTCTTGATTGCTGCTTCCATGAGCATTGATTATGAACCCAATCAAACAGATCCTTGACAACTTCAGTTTTACCCATGTATCATAATGTTGTCTTTTGGTCCAGTTGTAAGAATTTTCATTGTCTTTACATTGAATATTAATCCATACTGATTTTCCTCAGCAAGTGCTTCAAGCCCTCCTCACTTTGCACGAGCAAAGTTGTACCATCTGCACATTGAAAGTTATTAATAAGCCTTTCTCTCATGTTGATATTTATATAAGCCAGTTTCTTGGATCATTTGCAGAGCATGCAGATTGAATAAGTATGGTGTAAGGATAAGGATGCAGTCCTGATGCCTGCCATGCAGTGTTCCCTTGTTCTGGCCATTTAACTGCCACTAAGTCTATGTACAGGTTGCACATGGGCACAATGAAATGTTCTGGAGTTTCCATTATCCACAATGCTATCCATAGTTTTATGATCCACACAACTGAATGCCTCTGCATAGTAAACAACTTTTCAGTAGTAAGCAGTACACAAGTAAACAGGTGTCTGGTATTCTTTTCTTTCAGTCAACATCCATCAGATGTCAGCAACGATATCCCTTATGCTATATCTTATTTTGAGTCCATCTTAAATTTCTGGGCTTTCCTATTAATGTTAATACCACAGCCATTTTTTATTATATTCATATTTATTATATTTACTTGCATGTGATATTAATGATCTTGTTCAGTACTTTCTGCATGCTGTTGAATCACTTGTCTTTCTAATGGGCACAAATATGGATGTCTTTCAGCCAGTTGGCCAAATTTCTTGGCATAGACTAGTGAGAGCTTCCAGTGCTGCATCAGTTTATTGAAACATTTCAGTTGGTATTCTGTCAAATCTGGGGCCTTGTTTTCCACTAATGCCTCTTGTGCAGCGTGGACTTCTTCCTTCAGTGCCATTGTTGTTGTTTTAAACATTTTTATTGTCACATAATCCACATATCATACAATTCAATAGTTCAATCATATCAAGAAGAATTGTACAGTCATCACCACAATCAATTTTAGAACACCCCCCACACACACACACACACACTCACGGTTAAATCACCTTTAAAATGAATTGTGTAATCACAATCTGTTCTACTGCTCCCTTCCCCCTTCCCCTTCATTCCCCAAATCCCCTCACCCTATCTCCCACTCCCGCCCCTGCATCCCCTATAGACCCCCGCAACAGTTATCTCTGTGCATCCACTCCTTCTGTGTGTCACAAACTGGGAATCCCAAAAGAAACAATGAAACACAAAATCTAAATAAAATGGTAATGATAAAATGATAATATAAAGATAAAAATACAAATAATGAGTAAGAAAGACAAGACCACCCTCAATATTGAAAAAGCCAGGGAAGATATTTTTGTCATGGGACATGCAAGAGATACCTGCACCTAGAACAAATTCAGGTAGGGTCAATAGGGAGGGCAGCTGACCAAGTATCGAGTTCAATCCAGCATAATCAAGATTACAGAGATCTCTGTCTGATAGTAAGGCTGTTTGAGACCCTTGCCTGTGGCTAGTTGGGGTCTGCCAGCGGCTTAATCTCACTCATTACTCTGCTCACAGTGGGAGCCCCTCCTAGCCTTCTACCAATTGGGTGTTCATAATGTTAGCTCTGATACTTTTTCCTTCGTCATATTTGAATTTTGTGATTGTCATCTTTGGATCACACAAGCTGGTGTGCTTCTTCCATGTGGACTTAGTTGACTCCCTGCTTAGATGGCTGCTTGTTTGAAGACAAGCCTTTAAGACCCCAGACACGATTCCGATTGATAGCTGGGCACCATCTGCTCTCTTCACCACCCTTTGCTGTAGCGCCTTATCTTCAGTGATCATTTCATGGAGGTGAGTATGGAGCAGGGCCATGATATCAGAACTAACTGTTCTTGGATTGGGGCTAGAGTTAAGTGGGGGCCCAGATCCATTTGCGTGTCCCTGGAATATGCATGTCTCAGGTTTCCTTTGGTGGTCGTGTCATGACAAAATCAAAACCCCGTAATACCAACTACCCCAACAACAGCAATAAACCAACTAGCAGACAACAAAAAAAGCAAGCAAAAGCAAACAAACTAAAGGCAGGAAAACAAAAACCCATAGAAACAGAAAAGTAAAAAGTTGTTAATCATCCCCCTGGGGTATAAGGTGATCGCACTCATAACATCCCTCCAGACGCTGTTGGTATGAGTATATGCTTCCACCTTGAGCTGCAACCTATGAGTTGCCTACACAGTTCAATCTCCCATAATTGAGCTCTGTGTAAGTATGGGGATTGGTCCCAGGGGGGACCTTCCTGGATCAATGCTTCCAAGTGCACATTCTTGACCAATAGATCGAAACCTGTCATGTCACTGCAAGGTGGGCATCAAGGTACTATATGTATGGTAATTCTGGGTCCCTTTCCATTGGACACCCACCAAGCCGGGGGTTCCCCCCAGGGTCCAGTGACCACCACAGTCCTGGATTAGCCACTCTCTGCTTCCTCTCCCATTCAAGTACCCCAGTCCTCTCTCTAAGGGTGCAGGCAGCTTTGAGGCAGGGCTCAGTTCATTCAGCTGGGTCTCTGTGTTAAGTCCTTCTGGTGTAGCCCCTGTGCTTTACCATGCTGCCTGCAAGGTCATCTTCCGGGATCTTCATGGTGCTTAGTCCATGACATGGTTTGGTTAGGTAGAAATGTATTCGTAGTGTCTACCCAGGAGCATAAAGTCCGGCCCATTGCCCCTCTAGGTTCCCTACAATCATTGTTTAGCATCCCTTCTTGATGTGAGGTTGCTTCTCTCCAACCACCTACCATTCTCACCAATGGAACTATCAGCATCTCCTCCAAAATGCACATGGTCCCCTCTCCTGGTCTTGGCTTATTTCTGGCAAGATTCTTCGTCCAGTCCTGTGGGGAGCCCTTGATTTGCCCAGTCTTGTCTCCTGGCTGTGTAGCTTCAAGTGTATTGTCATCTCCCATTTCCCCCCTCTTGAAAGAGGGACCCTAGGCAATGTGAGGTCTCCCCTTCAAGCTGGCTCTTATGAAAGGCTCAAAAGGGAGGTGATGTGTGGTTCATGGGTGGTAGGTAAGCTTCTCAATTTTTGTTCAAGCACTGGTTCCTACAATTTGTTTCATTGATGGCTCTCCTTATAGTGGTGAACGCATACAGTACTTGTCCTTTTGTAATTGGCTTACCTCGCTCAGCATACTGGTTTCCAGGTCCTTCCATGTCATGCAGTGTTTCATATTTCATCCCTTTTTTTTAGGGATGCATAATAGTCCATTGTGTGTCTGTACCATAGTTTCTTTATCTGTTCTTCCACTGTTAGGCATTTGGGCAGCTTCCAGCTTCTTGCTATTGTGAACGTGCTGCTATGAACATGGGTGAGCACACCTCCGCTCATGTTTTATCTCATTTCTTTAGGGTGTAGTACCATCGGTTCTTGATCACATTTTTAAAGTGGTTGGCTGTCAACCACTTTTGGTATAGTGACTCTGTATATTACTTCAACTTTTTGCTTTATTTAATACTTCCCCCATAGAATCCTTCAGTATTCTTGAGGCTTGGCTTTTTCCTTCACTTCTTTAAGTGGGGGGTTTAAGTTGAAGGACATACACATCCAAGCAATTGCTGTTGTAAGCATCGGAGCTCATTGTTGGAGTAAATAAAGTGTAAGTAGCAGCCAGCACGGCATTGGGTGGTGTAGCTCATTCCGTTCTCCCCCATTTCCCTTGCCCCTTGTTCAGATCATGTTTTGTGACGACTTGAAGCTGACTTCTGATATTGACAGTGTTTGCCTGTAGAGCGGCTACTGTGGACCAGGCTCTGCTCACGTGCTATATATGTCTGTGAACTCATTCAGTCTTCAGAACAGCTCTGTAATTGTGCTGTGATTGCCACTAGTTTTTGAATGAGGAAACCGAGGCAATCATGTAACTTACCCAAGGTCACCACCAGATGCTGGAGCCAGCATTTAATCCAGGTAGTTCAGAGCCCCATAGGCCTGACCACAAAGCCAGTGGTTCAAACCCACCAGCCACTCTGCAGGAAAAAGATGAGGCTGCCTGCTCTCGTAAAGATGTACAGTCTCAGGGGCTCTGTATAGGGTCACTCTGAATTGGTAGCAGGTTTGGCTATTTGGCCTCCAGAGTCTGTGGTCTCTTCAGGTCTGGAGAGATTTCTGATGACGTGGCGCTGCCATCGGCTTTTATCCCGGAGTTTGGAGTTTGGTAAATGAATGGCAGTGCTGTGACACTGGTCCTCAGGCATAGCGCTCTCTCTGAGTGTCCTCTCATGAAAGCATCACCCCAAGAAGGTCCTATTGGCCCATCATCTGCTCACATAACAATGTGATGGTTCTGGCTTTTACCTGCTCCCCCAGGGCCCCTTGTTCCAGGGGGATTGTAAACTGGTTTTCACTCTGATTTCACAGAAAAGGCAACAGATGGCTCCCTGCAGAGTGAGGACTGGACGTTGAACATGGAGATCTGCGACATCATCAACGAGACGGAGGAAGGGTAGGTGTTGCTCCCCACCCCCACCCCCCATCCCCTTCCGCTGAGCTTCTGGCGGCTCGTCGTCGGTGTGGATCCAAGCCTGTGGGGCTTGAGGGTGTTGAGTGTTTTGTGGTGGTGGTGTTTTTAATGTGTTCACTAAGCTGGTGCCCTTAGCTCTCTCCCTCTCCGTCCCACTCGCCTCCACCCTTTCCCCAGTGGTGCTTGGTTAGAGCAATGATGACCTACCTCTTAAATAGACCTGCTTTTAGTCACACGTAGAAATGAAGTTGCTTGGTTACTCAGTCCCCAGTGGTCATTAATCTGAGCAGCCAAATCCTTATTTCCTACTCCCTCGCCTCAGCCTCCTCTTCACTCACGTGGCTCACTGGACCACAGCCCCGGGAGTCAGGAGAGATCCCTACTCCGTTCACAGAAGGAGCTCGGGTGTGGGAAGGCAGCAAGGGGAAGGGACCCCCAGCTGCCCCTTTGCATTCCAGCTCGGCTGCATCTGTTCTTGTTTTGCTTGTGTTTATCTTATTTTACCATCGCCCCTCTTGTACATGATCGATATACTCTGTCCTGCTTCCAAACTGCTCTGCCTTTAGCCCTCAGTCCACACCTTGCAAACTCTACTTACTGTGGCCACGTGCTCTGAAGCCATCTCCCAGGTGGTGGGGAGAACAGCTCTGTGCTTGAGCACTGCCTCTTGTTGCTGCCCCTCACTCGCCTTGCCTTGTACATAGTGGTGTACGAGAGACTCCCCGTGTGCACGTCTGGTGTAGGTGCAGGGGAGACGGGTGAGCAAGACCTACAAATCTCCTCAGGCCCCTGCCTTCATGGAGCTAGCCTAGAGCAGCAGAATGCTCAGGAAACCTCACCCGGGTGACATTAAACACAGACTCGAAGGAGATGGAGGGCCTTAGCACTAGGATCCTGTGAGGGAAGAACTCTCAGGCAGAGGGAGCGGGAAGCACAGAAGGCCTGGGACAGAGGGTGTCTGATGCGTGTGAGAAACAGTGAGAAGGCTCTGGGGGCTGGAGTAGAGCCAGTGAGCAAAAGGGCGCTGGTAGCCAAGGTTACAGGCTGCCTGGAGACCCGGGTGATGGTGTGCTCTGAGGACATGGGAAAGACTATGGCTTTTCCTTTGGGTGGACGGGCATCCATCTAAGGGCTGGAGCAGAAAGATGGCATGGGCTGACTCTCATTTTAAGAAGATCACTCTGGCTGCTCTGTTCAGAATTGGGGGGACAGACGCTGGGAAACCAGCTAGGAGGTTCTTACAGCAACCCAGGTGTGAGGTGATGGTGCCTGAAGCTGGTAGAGGAGCCAGTGAGGAACGCTTAGGTTCTAAATCTGTTCACAAGGTAGAGGCAATGAGGTGTGTGTTGTGGGGGTTGAGGGAAGAGAAGAGCTGAGGATAATGCCAGGGTTTAGGGCCCGGACACCAACAGCCAATGCCTGAGGTGGGCAAGCCACGGGAGAGGCAACTGGGCTGGGGAAATCGGCAGTTCCGTTAAAACATGTGAAATATACATGCGACCTGTTAAGCCTGCAGGTAGAGCGGCTGGCAGGATGTTTGAAAGTGTGAGTCTACACTTTGGGGGAATGTATGAGTGCCCTGTGCTGGAGATAGAAGTTTTGGAGTCTTTAGGAAAATGACGTATTTCAATCTTTATATGTGGATAATCAGGCCAACACCTGGCACACAGATGTGGTTCACCCACCGTCCTAAAGGTTGGGGATGCTATTGTTTTATAAAGGAAGGTCTGATCACGTCCCTTGAGATCCCTCGGGGCTCCTTCCTTCCTTCCTTCCTCATGTCTACCTCAGATGCCACTCATTGTTGGGGTCACCCAGGCAGTGCTGACTGAATACTACCAGTGTATCAGTTCCCAGCCTTGGGGTTCTGTCTGAGGAGGGGGACCAGACAGGTCTGTGTTCACCAAGGTCAAGGTGTGTGCCCAGTGCTGAGGACTCCAGTGAGAAGGAGGTGGGGGTGCCTCTGGGTGGGCTGGCTTCAGTCTGGGACTTCAGGATAGAAGGAGGAGGATAGCATGGAAGGAGATGAGAACAGGAGGGCCAGGAGCCCCGGCGTTCCTCATTCCAAAGGGTCCTTGCTCTACTGGAGTCAGGACCTTCTATTTAAAATCCTTCCATCACATAAGGCCTTGGTGACATCTTGCTCCTAAAATGGCCTAGCTCCTGTCTCCTGTCCCTGCAGGTTTGAGTGAGAATACCTTAGTGGCTCCTGGGGTATTTTCTGTCTACACCTCGACTGCAGGGGTGTGTTAGGCAGGGTTCTCTAGAGAAACAAAGCCAGCAAACTTGTGATGATAAATAGGGATACGTTTATATAGCAAAAAGGAACATAACAGCAAATTAGTCCACACAGCAGTCCAGAGCTCCGTCTCTGTCACGCAATACAGAGAAGTCACGTTCATGGGGCACTTAATATACCGAAGGTCCTTCCAACTCACGCCACCGCTAGTCCAAGGCCGAGGATGCAGACAGTAGGAAGATGAAGTGGGGAGGCGGAGCAGAGGCCAGTAGCGCAGTGTCATGAAGCAGGTCACGGTGGAGCGATGAGAGGTGGTGGTGGGAGGTATCTGGAGTGGTGGCAGGATGAGCGGGGTCAGCCCGCAGGCAGCAGACACTGCAAGGTGGGTGGGGGCACCATGGCGTGGAGCAGCACAGCACAGTGACATGGTCCACCAGACTCAACCAGGTGGAGCAGAGCACTGCACAGCCCACAGCTAGTGTAGCACACGTGTTGAGGCAAGGCAGCTAGATCGGGCTGGTCCTACCACCAAGGAGGCAGAGAGAGAGGCCTGCATACAGAGAGCTGTGTATTTCAGTCCTAACTGCAAAGGAGGGCATCAAGCTTTGACCTAATTGACAGGCTAAACTCCACCCCTATCTTCTTACAGGTGCCATGTTGGCACCCAAACACCTAACTATCACAAGCGAGAAAGTGACTGTTCGCATTTCCTAAAATGGGAGAAAAAGCCTCACCAGTTCAACTCATTATCCGGGGACCTTACTCCCTCTCACCTGCATAAAGGCTTGCTCCCTAACCCCAGTTCCCATCATTCACTGGGCCTCATTGGATTCTCATTGCCCCGGTACTCTCTTTTATTTGATTCATCTGTTTATTTTTACCCTCTCTCAGACAAGTGCCCCACATTATGTGTTCCTAACAGACGTTTGTGTGGCACTTGGCAGGGTGTGTGGTCTCACTCCTCTGCCCCCACTGGACTGTGAGCGCCCCAAGGCAGGGGTTCTACCCACTTTACTTACCATTTGATCCCAGCGCCTACCACAGCACACACCTGGTTGATCCGCATTTGTTAACTCGTGAGTGGGGTCCCTAAGGAGTGCAGTCTGGTGAGGAATGCAGGCCTGTAAGCATAGTTCTGACGCATGGGACAACTGCTCTGAGAGCGAGAAGCTATTTATAGTTCCAGAGACTCGGGTGCTGCCTGTGGCAAAGGCTTCTTGGAGGATGTCGCATCCTAGTGAAGTCTTGCAGGATGCAAGGGCATCTCCGGGTGAAGTGAGAGTGGGCTTGGCAGGCTGAAGGCCAATGCATGTGACTCATCAGTGGGTGGGCTCTGTCTAGGGCTCGCTGTATTCTGCAACCGTAGGTAAGGGACCTAATTTTCTTGTGTCTCAGTTTCTTCGCTTATGAGCCAAAGAAAACCCAACTGCCATGTTGACTCTGACTCATTAGGCCCCGCTGGGACAAATTAGAACTGCCCTGTAAGGCTGCCAAGACTGTAAATCTTCGCGGAAGCAGACTTCCACGTCTGTCTCCTGCAGAGCAACTGGTGGACTTGAACCATCCACCTTTCAGTTAGCAGGTCCCAGAGGAGTAAGCAGGTAACGCGGAGCACAGGAAGAGCTGAAGCAGGGGGAGAGTGATTGATGGGATGATCCCGGGGGATGTGGGAGCCCAGCAGTGGGGTGGCCATGTCCTCCTGGGGAGGAGGACGGAGCATGCCCCCCACCAGCAACAGCTCCGAAGCTGAAGGGAAGAGGTGCAAAGGCCGAGGTGCAGAGTTGTGAGTCTGGGGTGGGAGGGACTGTGAGGAAGGTGACCAGAGCCCGGGGGTGAGTGAGGGACCTGACCTCCTGGGAGCTATGTGGCATTCCCACTGGTACACCTGTCATTTCCTCTCGGTCCTTTCTTCCATTCCCCTCCATCTTGGCTCACCACTCTCAACTCCCCCTTTTCCCTGGCTCCCAGCTCGGCCGCTGTCTCATCTGCCACGGCTTCTGGAAACGTGGCAATTCCTCTGACATGACTTTGATCCGCCTCTTTGAAGCGTCTCCCCCAGGGAGAGAGATAAATACTTGCATTTGTGCTTACCCAGTCACACTCCAGCAAGACTTCCCGGGGATGAATTTTCATTTTGTTTCTCCCCTGTGCCTGCTGACTCCATCGCCCCACACCGGGAGAGCCCCTCGCATGCTGATGCTCTGCAGGCCACAGTGATCTCAGCCATGGAGACCCGTGCCCAGTGTCTGCTGGGGGCGGGGACTGGAGCTGCGGGGGCAGGCTCACCAGGGTTTGGCAGTGCCTTTGAAAGGGAGGTAATCGATATCTGCTCCCAGCAAGTCACCACTGACCTTCAGCCGCCCCAGCCCACAGCAGTCTCCACACTGGAGCCTGTCAGACCCCTGTTTGTAGCCGTCACCTCCTTGTTTGGAAACTGCAGCTGCACTGCAGACATACTTGGCAGGGGCCGTTCCCTTTGACTCAGGTGCCAGAAATTCCTTCAGGGCAGCCATGTTTCAAGTGGAAATAGGAAATAGATGAATAGGGGATTCATTTTTAATTTCTTCCAGAAGCCTTGCTTTGCTCCTGCTCATTTCTGTCTAGGTTGGGCTGATAGGGGGTGTCTTCCTATCCCACCCACCCACCTAATCCCACCCCCACCTCTGCAACCCATCTGGATTGGCATGCAGTTGGTGGAAGGCTGGAGCCTATTTGTGGAGAATAAAGGACTGGCCTGTGGCTGGACTTTGGGATCCCAGAGTGCAGGATTAGGGCTCAGAGACTTGATGTTTTTGAGGTAGCTCCTAGCCCCACAGTTTTGTTGAATCCTGGGTTGCTTTCGGTGAGATCCCACAGTAGGCCCATCCATACGAGTACAGTAAGTGTGCTCGGGGAACTGGTCAGCCTGGATGGGGAGCTTGTAGCAGTAACAGACATGGAAGGAAGAATGCATCCTGAGTTCCAGACCATCGATTTATGAATGCATTTTTGAACACAGCCCATTTATAAGTTGGAAGCTACTGATGATTCTGCAAGATTTCCTGTGGGATCCCCATCAGATCCGTTACCTCAGACACATCATTCCCTAGCTTCTAAATAGGCTCACGGAAGTTAGTCCACTTAAGGAGAAATAGAATATATTCAGACCTAAGCAGGGCCCTAATCTTTCCCCCTCTGCGTCTCTTCTCTGGTTTCTCGGAGAGGGGTGGGGTTGGGGGGATCTCTCAGTGTGTTACCTCCCCGTGGGCTGGTTTTTGGTGAAGTAAATGGCAGTGGAGGAGGTGGACATAGCTGACCTCCTCTGCTTCCCCATTGCCAAGAGGCAGAGTCAGACATGCTTCCACCCCCATCCTTCTGTACCTGTTCTGGCACAAAGCCTTCCTCCTCCACCACTCTACAAATATGCTGCGTTCAATACAGCAGCCACACACACCTCACAGACAATGCTCGCAATGAAGGGGGTAATGAGGGAAGTTATTAGATTGCCATAAATCAGGATCAGCAAATGGTAAATATATAGTCATTGGTCTCCTCGGCCAGTAGCCAAGTCTCTCCAGTTCTTAGCCTCCCAGCCACGCAGTCCCTGGGCCTTTGTCCCCACGGGTCAGGAAGCCAGCCCTCCTGTCAAAGTGTCCCATAGTTCCATAGTTTCAGATCAGATAAGGAAAAGACGCCCCATGGTCTCAGTGCTGCTCCTCTAAGTCTCCATGCCACGGTGTGTGACCATCTGGTCTCAGTGGCCTCTGCTGCCTCAGGCAGAGACCTTGAACGTGCTCTTCCAACATCCTCCAGGCTTTACTTTTCTCTGCTTCAAAGATGGCTCATCCTTGCAGCCAGGGGGCCAGTAACAAAAGCTGACCAATCCCCTCCATTCATGTTGTACACACTAGTTTGCATAGTCCCACTCAATCATCTGGTGGGAGTTACAGAGACTTGGGTAGAAGAGCCGTCCTATTAAGAAGTGTCATTCACCACACTTGGTTTGAATAAATGACACTTGTATGTGACAGCAAGGTGATCCAGGGACAAACCTGCTTCCTCAGCCTCTCGTCAGGGGCAGCCAGTGTGACCAGTTTCTGAGATCACTTTCACCTTGCTTTTTCACTCTGTCACTCAGAAAGGATCACACTGGATGTACTGGGCTGTGCAGTCCTTTAGTCGTTGATCTTTGAGTTTGTCCCGTATTCTGTGCATATGGGATGTCACTCTTCTTCTGTACAGCTGCATAGCATTCTATTACGTGGATGTACCATAGTCTACTACAACCCGTTTGCTGTTGACAGACAGCTAGTCTGTTTCCAGTCTGTTGTGTTGACAAATAGTGCCTCTATCTATGTTCGTTAATGCAAAGAGGAGGGAATCTTCAGGTGTAATACAGCATAAAATATTGTCTAGGTTCTTTGAGGAATGATAGTCGCCTTCCTACGACTTCATTATTTCTGGCATCAGTTGCAATCCCCTACTACATTTTCTACTGTAGGCTCTCTGCCAAAAACTGATAGCCATCAACTCAATTCCCACTCACAGCCACCCATTGACAGGGTAGAACTGCCCCTGTGGGTTTCCAAGACTGCGACTTTTTACGGGAGTCGGAAGCTTCATCTTTCTCCCATCAAGTGGTTTTGAACTGCTGACCTTGTGGTTAAGAACCCAACGTGTACTCCACGCTGGCACCAAAGCTCCTGGTTGTAATAGGCACACAGAACTCCCAGAGCAGACTTGTAGTTTGATGGTTTATTAGGGAGTAACAGGCTATCAGTAGGGCCAACTTGGAAGTAACGGGCAACAACTTCGGATCAGGGTCGGGAAGCACACAGGCAAGGTCTGGATAGATCTCTGACGTGGAGACATCTCTCCCTTCTGTGCAGGACAGCTTCTGATCAAGACACCTCTCAGTCAGTCCCACTGCGCACTTCCAGTGATCAGTAGATATGGCTTCTCTGCTGGACAGCTGCCTTCTTTCCAAGTGGCTGCCTGCTCAGCTGGGTAGGCCTCTCTGCCATTGGCTCGCTTCTATGTTGAGCTCCTCACCGTCAGCTGCTCGCTGGCTCATAGTCAGCGTAGCCGCCTTTCTCTGCTACTGCTTTCCTGTCAGTAGCTTTCCACTGCTGGGCCCTTATGCCGTCAGGCTTCTTACCTGTTAGACCACTCCGCCGTCAGCCTCTCTGGTCCAGTGCATAGCCACCCACGATAGCAGCTTGTCCGCTCTCTCAGCTGTTCTCTGTCCCCAGGCCTCTCCACCATCAAGCTTTTGACTGCTAACCCGTAGCCAGGGCAGCAGCGTACCCCTGTTCTGCTCCCAGGTGGCTCTGCCTCTATCCCAGTAACATCCTCAGTTGCTCTTTTGTTGCTGTTGAAGCCAGAACTGGCCAGGGCCTCCCTGTCCCAAAGGCCGCACTGCCCTCCCGGCTCCTATCAACCCGAAGGCCTTGAAAACCTCTGATCTTCAGCCCTTAGTGTATCCCAGTTCTCATCAATTACAGTGAGCCTCCCTCACCTGACCAGAGTTCAATTAGCCAGGAGATAGAAATCTACTTAAGTGCTGTACAAAAAGTACCATTTTCTGCCAGCAGAAACCAGGCTTCTCCAGAAGACAGAAGTAACAATCTTTTGGAATAGAAAGCAACCCGGCTGGTCCCCCAAGTTGCTTTTCCAGAGAACTAGGGCAAAAGTAACAACTCCTCAGGGCTTAGGGGGAAAATCTCCTTTTTAAAATCATTTTATTGGGGGCTCATACAACTCTTATCACAATGCATACATACATCAATTGTGTAAAGCACATTT